ATATAAATATAAATTTATTTATAAATACATAGAAACATATATTTTAAATGCAGTATCATAATAACATTTCATATTTATTTTAATCTATGCACTCTAAATTGTAGGTGATACAGCTGGTTCTTGTGGTGATCCAGGTATCCCAGGTCATGGGTCTAGAGAAGAAAACAATTTTAAAATTAAAAGCACAGTACATTTCAGCTGTGATATTGGATATATCCTCCATGGCTCAGAAGAAAGAACATGTATGGCAAATGGAAGTTGGACAGGAAGACAACCTGAGTGCAAAGGTAAATCACAGAAGATCCACTCTTTTTTTAAACTGCCTTATTAAAAATTATAATCAGAAAAGCAATTTTACATTGCAGAAGTTTTGTGTTGTGAATGGTGTACAGTTGATTTTGGACTGATCATTGATTTTTTTTGGAGAAGTTGTTACACCGTAGCAATGGCTTGGGATCAGGTGACGAATCTGATACCAGTTCCTGGCACCCATGAAACTGAATGTTTTTGAAATTTTGAGAAAAAAAAAAAAAGTATACTGAACTGTTTATTTCTTCTCAGTCTTGTGTCAGCGTCAACTATATGTGCTATCCAGTACAAAAAACTAAATAGAAAAAATAAATGGATAAGGCCTCTAGGACTTAGTTTTTGATTAAAGATTTTTTCCCTTAAAAAGCTTGCCATCTCCTGATCTTTAATTACAATGATTATATGTCAGAATTTCAGAGAAAAGTGCATAATTTTATGAAAATGTCAATGTCAGGATTTCATTATATACATCTATTTCATAAATGATCAGCTTAATTTTATTTACTAATACTATTGACATTTATTATTTTTCAATAGTAAACAAAATGCGGAAACAAGGTTTTCTGGAAAAAAACATTCTAGAAATTTCAAGCTAGATGTATTATCTTAAAATAAAACTAACACATTATTTATGGAGAAACATTTATTACATTAATTGTCTTGATTCAAAAATAGGAAATAATTCCCAACAGACTCTTCTTCAAATAAAAGCTTCCTGAAAAGCAGAAAATAATTTGAGAACCTGTATTCTTATTATCCACTTTATCACTGCTGATTTTAAAAACTTATTTCACAAGCTTCTTTTTGCAATATCTTTTCTGATGAATTATTGCTATCCTGACACAATGTAAACATATATATATATATATGTTTGTATGCTGGTATCTGAAGGGATATGCTTAGCCCAACTGAACTTTCTGCTGTTCTTCTTTGATCTTTTACAGAAATTAGTTGCCCTTTTACATTTTAAGATATTTTGGTGTTATTTTTCCCCCTAAAAATCTCTTGAAATGATGAATCTAGTTCACAGATACATATATAGGTGTGTGTAATGCACACACAGGTGTATTGTTCTAGTTTAAGTCATATAGGTGAGATGTACATATGTAATAACATAAGCAAGACACATTCAGATTCCAAAGCTGAGAGCTGAAAAACTGGAAAACATCAGGCTTACATCTGCCTAGGAAATAATAGTTTAACTCTGTCCTTTAAGAGGTGCTTTCAACAAGGTAGGAAATGTACTTTGGTGATGCTATAAATGCATACGTACTATAGATTCAAATTAAATCTACAATGATAATTGTAGATCGGGCATTTTCTTATAATTGGGAGTTTTTCTTCAGCTAAACTAGCTTTTCTTTAATGCAGATTTTAAAGGTAAGTTACTTAAGTTTTTAGGATGTGCTTCCCTCCATACTAAAAAGTAAAACCAAATAAATCATGCAAACAGCTATCTAGGTGGTGAAACTTACATTTTTTCAGGATAAGAGCATGGATTGTTACCACATAACACTGCTGGCAGCAGGGTTGTCCTTTGACATTACTATTTGAAAAGTTGTCTTTACTACATTTTAAGAATATTTAACATTTTGCTTTATAGCTGTGCAGTGTGGTAATCCAGGAACAACTGCTAATGGAAAAGTATTTCGTATTGACGGAACTACATTCTCTAATTCAGTAATTTATTCATGCATGGAAGGATATATACTTTCTGGATCATCTGTAAGACAATGCACTGCCAATGGAACATGGTCTGGATCCTTGCCAAACTGCACAAGTAAGACACATCTCTAATGAATAGTCTTTGTTTTTCTCTCCTCTGAAAGACAATAAAATAAAATATTGAAGCTGGGTGCAAATAAGTCTTCAGCTTTTTCTTGCACTACTTCCTACATAATTTTGTACATGAAATACCTTCAAAAAAATGTAGTGCTCATATTCTCATGGAGATAAGGAATATGTTTTTTTTAAAGATAGACACAATATAGTAAAATATATAGACTGCTGTTACAGTTTAAAGGAGTTGATCTAAAGGTACATGATCTACCTACTTTAATTTTTTCCTAGTATATATTTTGTCTTGTTTATGTTTTATGGTACATCATATTCATACATTATTCATTTAATTGCTTTTCTTCATCATGCATCTTAGCAATATAATATCCGTGTCTTCCAGAGGGCAGAAAATAAAAAACTTGAAATGAACACTTGAGAATTATTTTTGTAGTGACTCTGAGGTCAAAACTGTTGTCCCACTCTCAGATGTCATCTTCTGTTTGGCCTCTTCATTAACCTTATACTTGCTTTGGTTACTTAGCTAACAGAAGCTATTTCAGCTTCACTCACATTCATAATAAGCATTTTGCAACAGCTTAGTGACAAGCTAATCTGTGCCTGTTTCATTACATGTCCTAGTTCATCTTTTAGTAGCAATTATAAAAATTTTACATTTACGTGACGTATGAGACTGCCCTTAATTTTGAGGAAACATATCCTCATCAGAGGTACAGCAAGTTGTTGCTTAAATTTTGAAGTAGTACCTTAGCTTTCATAGAGTTGACTACTTTACACTCTTCTAGCAACCCAAATAGAGGCAAAAGATGATAAAGAAAAACTTCTCCTTCTTGTGTTGCTTTTAAATCTATCTTTAATGGTAGGCACATGAACAGCTGCTTCTGCAGTCAGCAAACCTGTGAGAGAGCCCAGTGTTTTTGATTATTTATTATTTTCCAAGTTCTAGTGAGAACCAGATTAATTGCACCAAGGATAAAGGTGTTTTGTGATGGTAACTGCCTCTATTTTTTTTCTTGTATTTTACAATGACATTTAGCTGAAGTACATGCTAGAGCAGTCTTCTCAAAAAACACTACTCAGGTAGAAACTTGTGATTTTTGCTTAAAACATCGAAAAATGTCTTAACAGAGAAAGTATTCTAACAAAACAAAGAGAGGTATTGTGAAGAGTATATGTAATGGAAAAATATTATTGATTATTGATATTGATATATAAGTATTTTAACTTTGTTATACAATAAATGTATTGACATTCCCAGTACACAGTTCTCTCTTTGTTATGATTACACATCTAAAAAGTATCCCCCTATGTATTTATTCCAGTGACAATGTTATTTAGAGGTTTCTAGTTTGATGTGTATCCCCTGGAGTGATCAGAGTATGAAGAGAATAATTGAATGAAAATCTTATCCAAAAGGTACAAAATCTGAGAATTTTGGTCTGACTAATTTCTGCCTTTTCGATGATTGCTGACTATTAACTAATTCCTAAAGGGTGACAGAAGCACTACTAGATCCTACAACTTGTACCTAAGCTCATACAGGTAGCTAGCAGCAGCTCTAGAATACCCAGAAATGGAGAGGCATTTTACAGCACTGCAGAATGACTGAGGTCAGCAGTTACCGCTGGAGACTGTCTAGGCCAACCCCGCTGTGCATGGCAGGATCTGCTAGAGCAGTTATTCAGAGCTGTGTCCAGTCTGTGTCCCTCTCTACAGACCTTTAATTCTACAGTTCCTTTGCACATCTAAATAGAAAATAAAAATATGTTAAACTTCATCATACTTAATTTGCTACGTTCTCTCTTACAGCAATATATAAATTTTAAATTGCTGACAGATAATTAGCAAGAGTCAATGGACAATATTATCTAAATAGCTAGTTAACAGATGATGAGTTAAAAATCCCTTCTCTTTCTCCTGACAGTTTTATCTCCAGGTCTACTAAATATACCTGATAAAGTTTATATATTGTAAGGCAACAATTTTCTCATAATGATTTCAAAGTGTATTCAAAGCAGTAGAATTGGCAGTGCCAATGGACTTTGTTGACAGGGCAGGTTTCATTTAATTTTTTTTCCTACTATGTATGCTGTCATGATTTAACCAAATCCAGCAATGGAGCACCACACAGCTGCTCACTCACTCACTTTCCCCAGTGGGATGGGGGACAGAATCAGAAGAGCAAAAGTCATGCAAAACTCATGGGATAAAGGCAGTTTAATAAGTAAAGCAAAAGCTCTAAGCACAAGCAAAGCAAAACAAGGAATTCATTCACTACTTCCCATCGACAGGCAGATGTTCAGCCATCTCCAGGAAAGCAGGGCTCCATCACATGTAATGGTTACTTGGGATGACAAAAGCCATCACTACAAATGTCTCCCCTTTCCTTCTTCCTCCCTCAGTTTTTAATTGCTGAGCATAACATCATATGTTACGGAATATCCCTTTGATCAGTTGGGGTCAGCTGTCCCAGCCTCTCTCCACACCCAACTTCTTGTGCACCCCCAGTCTACTTCCTGGTGGGGTGGAGTGAGAAGCAGAAAAGGCCTCGAGACTGTGTAAGCACTACTCAGCAGTAACAAAAGCATCTGTATTATTAACACTCTTCAGCACAAATCCGAAACATAGCCCCACACTAGCTACTGTAAAGAAAAACCAGCACAGTAAGATAAAGATTAGTAAGTACAGAAGGGCAAAAACACATGAAAATCAGGTCTGGGTTGTTTGGGCATTTTTTTGTTTTGTTTTAGTTTGGGTTTTTTTCCTTTGAAATATTAACTTGAAAAATTAGTAATAGGAAGGTAGGAATTTTGAGAAGGTAGAACAATCTAAAGGTCTGCTAAAGCCATTGTGGCTCTTGCTGTATCACAGATCACTGTTAAAGTAGCAAGAAAGGGTACAATCATTACAGTAACAGCAACAGCAGAAGAAACAAAAAGTTTGTATTAATGACCAAAAGAAAGAAATGGAGATTGTAAGAAAGATGAATGAAAAAGCTGTAAACACAGTTTAGTTGGGTTTAAATAAAGAACGAAAATAGTTTTCAACAGTATAAAATAAAGTTTGTGGAGCTGTTTGATCATATACGGTGTATGGTGTTTGCATGTTCTTAAATTCATAAGGCAATGATTTGAAATATTCTTTATACAGGAAAATAGACAAGGAATAGGGGAAAAAAAAAGAAAAATGCATGAGCATTATGTTGTAATCAAGTCAAAACAATAGTATCCAATCCTGGATAAATATCAAGGATTATTTTAGTTGAATTTGCAGCACCTTAGTAGAAGTAGAAGGTAAGTGGAATGTGTCAAATAAAAGAAAAGTAGAGCATATAGAGTATTTGAATACACTTGTGTAACTGAGAGATATACAGCTCCACATGTTGTGTTTGGCAGCTAATTCAGATGACATAGATGTTTATCTTCTCTTGATGGAGATAAAATTTATGGTACTTTTTCTTTCTCCTTTTTTCCCCAGTAAATTCCTAGTTTTGCCCTATGTTTTTCCCCTCACATATAAGTAAATCACATTTAGGTTTTAAAATCTATTCCTTAACTATTTACTTGCAGTTATCAGTTGTGGAGATCCAGGAGTCCCAGCAAATGGCATGAGATACGGTGATGATTATGTTGTTGGACAAAATGTTACTTACATGTGCCAACCTGGTTATACAATGGACTCAAATAGCTCCTTAATTCGTACTTGTACTAGCAATGGCACGTGGAGTGGAGTAATCCCAACATGCAAAGGTACAACATTTATTTTGGTTTTCAACTATTCCTTTTACGACATTTATGTCCACTGTTTATTGTAATGAATCAGACAAATATTTCCACAGAAATCAAAACATACTGTTAGTATGAATATACTGAATTGATTTTTTGTCTGCAGAAATTTGCATCCTTTGCTTCTTTTTCCTTTTATTTTTCATACCAGCACAGTATGTTGAACAGTTTTTTTTTGTAGTTTTATAGAACATTTCATTACTTTGCTGCTAAACTCAATTAGCCAATATGAAATGATGGTTTAGATTAGCATGTCATACTGAAAATGACCTTATGTGTATGTTCCTGTCTTTACAAAAGGACAACTCAAGCACATGATAGACACCTTTGGGAGAGGTTTGCATATATACAACTGAATTTTTTCAAAGGAAAATTCTTCTGGTTTACTCTGTCCATAATACTAAGATTTTTCTCTGATCCTTCTTTCATTAAACATGGACCTTTGAGCATCACTGTGGTTTATCAACATGCTCAGCAAAAAGACTAAATCCTTCTATCAAATTTCCTAATAAATATTTTTTCTGCTTCATGTTATTTTCTCTACTGTGAAAACTGAAAGGAGTAATCTCAAGATCTTCCTTTTCCCTCTTTTAGTAGTTGCTTTACTGATTTTTCTGCTTTAATGGAATTTTTTTAACGTTCTCTGTTGAAATTTAAACAGAAAAAAATCTGAAAATTACTGAACGACCACCTTATCTCTGCCATCAAAACAATTTTCTCTGAGAAACCCACTTGCTTGCTAAACCCTAAAACATCTCTCTAGAATCATTTTTCTCACTCTTCCTGATACCAAAGTTGTAGAGAAGCAGCATTACCGTTTTTGGTGTTTCCTTTCTGCATTCACACTAAGTATATCTGAACTCTATTCTTTTAAAACTTAGTTGCTTAAGTTTGTACTTATTTTGTCCATCTTCCTTCTATTTTTTTTTTTTTTTTTTAGGAAGTACAGTTGCATACCTGATCAGTAGTTCTCATTTTCCTCCCCCTTATTCATTCATCAAAATAGATCAAATAAATTTAAAATCTCCACCCTATTTACAATTACTTTCTTTCCTGGGTACAATTGTCCCAGTATCTTACCAAGTCCAGTTTAATTCTAATTCACTTTTAATAATGTAATTTTTTTAAAGTTATTTTCCCAACACATTATGGAGGATGTCAGAACTCGGGTTCTTAACAATTCACTTTTTTTTCTATTTGTATTGTGCTCTTAGCCAACCTCAGCTTCAGTTCAGAATGGCCATACTGGTCCTATTGACCAAGAGTTTGTCCATCTCCAAGAGTGGCTGTAAGCAAACAGGTAGAAGACCATACACAGAACAAGTATTTATGATATAGTCTCCTAGCCTCAAATTCTTAAGGACTACGAGGAACGTAACTGGGAGCAGGAGAGCTAGCTCTGATTTGATTCAAACAGAACCATACAAAGAAATGTCACAGAGAAATGGTACATGGTGAACCTTCTGCAGACCAGTCAAAGATGCAGTGCTCCTGATCTAGTGCCTCTGACTTCTTTTGAGCCTACAAGATGACAGCTATCTAAACATAAGTTTAAAGGTTTTGTGTGCAGCTCTTTATTTCCTCCATTCTTGTGACCTGTGTGTTCTCGGCTTTATGATTAGTCACCACCTCTTCTCATTTACCCCAACTGTCTCCACTAAATTAAATCACACTGGTTTCATTAGCTTTCTTTCTCATTTGCTAGCACAGTTTCTCCACTTTTCTCTTTTTTATCCTTTTTCTCTTTCTCATTCATTCTGGTACCTTTGGCCTAAATTTTCCCCTTTCCCTTTTTTGATTCAGAGTTTTTTCATTTAACTTCTTTTATACCTTTTTTTCCTTCAGCAATTGTCTGTTACTACCCTATCATCCAGTGAATAGCATTTTTTCTTCTTCACTACAGTTATGTCTGTTTATTTCTACTGTCCTGTGGTGGTTTTCAGTCCTCTTCCCTACAACTGAGTAGAAGATGTTTCTATTTTTTCCTGGGAGGCCTAGAAATGAGAAACGATACTGAAATACTTCTTGTTGGCCTTCTTGGTGGTAACAACAATGACAATTTCAAGGGGTTGCAAATCCTTAGATTTTCTCCCTCTAGCTAGAAGCTAGGTGCTTTTTGGTGAGGAGTGATTCATCACTGACCAAACTGTGATACTTAGAAACAGGCTTTCAAGTCATATTTTGGAGCAATCATCCTGGAATTTCATCCCTGGGCATTAATATGTGGCAAATGCCTAAGCTGGTTAACAGGAAGAAAGTATTTGACTATTACCACAGTAACTGTAAATAATTGTACTCTAAACCGACAAAGTCATTTTGTAGTATACTACCAGACATATCTTAAATGTTGTACACTTCATAGTCTCCATACTGATATTTGTGTAGTCTCCCTATTTGGTTTTGTGCAACATCCTGTTTTATTTAAGACACTTCATCAATCAGCCCCTGTCCCCTAAATGGAGGAAACCGGAAGTACTAACTTCAGGAAGTGTGGCAAGAATACAGTGAGGAAGATAGCATGTCCTGACTGTATTGTCCTCTAAAAAAGGTGAAATTAGCACATATGGTTCTTCTAGTAATTGTGTACACTGGGGATGTTTACGGCAGCTGGGCCTAATTATTTTGAATATTATTGCAGCTGTTACCTGCCCAACTCCTCCACAGATCTCTAATGGAAGGTTGGAAGGAACAAACATGGACTGGGGATTTAGCATTAGCTATGTCTGCTCTCCAGGATATGAACTCTCTTTTCCCGCTGTTTTGACTTGCGTTGGGAATGGAACATGGAGTGGTGAAGTGCCTCAGTGCTTGCGTATGTATTTACTTTATGGTCCTGTATTTCTTTACTCAACTATAGTGCTTTTTTTTCCTCATTAAAATTTTTGGTTGCCCCCCCCCTCCACATCCCTCCCCCGGCAGTGGCTCAGTTCATTTTAAACCTGGGACATATACAATCCTTCTATATTTTCCAAAATTTTAACATAATTTGGATGAATATCTGTAAATTCTTTGTGAGCATATAGGAAGCCTTAAACACAAACACACACACAAAAATTACAGGCAATGCATACCAAATTATCTAAGGCAAAAACAGATTAAGAGGTGCTGTCTTGTTTTCAGATCCAGGGGAAGTTTAATTATAATCTCTTTTATTTGCTTATTACTTATCCGAAACTTTCTCTGATGTCACATAGAGTTTTTTCTATTGCTAATGTTGACTAGGCCTCAGCTTGAGTCCTTGACAATTGTCCATTTTTCCCTCTGCACTAAATTAGCTTACATGTTTTATGCAGTAAATTTTGTTAACCTGAAAGTTGTGACATTGATGAATTATTATATTGCTACAATTTTCATTACAACAGCAAATGTGGCTTTTTTCTTTAGCTTGGTATTGTTCCACTCACTGTTTAAAGCATCTTTTTAAAGAAGTGATTGTAATGCTTCTGAGAGATATTCAATTGATTGCAGCGAAGAAGGGGGTTCTGTAGGTATTTGTAGAATAGCTGTATCACTGAAACCCTGTAATGAACTTGAGTAATGACATCTTCATGGCTTTACAGTTTCTAAAATTTAATTTGAGCTTGCCAAGTAGCTGAGTTTGCCAGGTAGCTTGCTAGACATTGCAACTGCAATTCTCTCTTCTTTCACTTTTTTTTTTGCATTCTTTGTCTCTCCCTTTCAAAAATGTTCTCTTGGCTTTGTCCTACTACTATGAAAGCATATAATATAAATGATCTTTTATTTTCCTTTTTTTCCTAGCAATATTCTGGTATCATGAACAGCAGTTGCTTAGTGATGCTTAAACTATATGTGTCAGAGCTGGAACGTGGTGAGAGATATTGTTTCTGGAAGAAAAAAAACACACTATTTGTTAAGTTCTCTAGATGGAGCTCTTCTAGAGTCTGCTATGTTATGAACATAAAAGACCATGAAAAAATTATTTTCATGATTTGTTCTTGATTGAAATATTGTGTGTTCACATTAATTGTTAGATACCACAAACTATTTTTCAGCTTTGAGGTTGGAATATTCAATACTGCAATATGCTCTGAAAAACAGGCTCCACCTTTGAACTTTTTAAAAGGTAGCACTGAATGCAGCCGTCCAGGAATTAAAGGCTGTCTCATGCAGAGATTACATTAACTGAATGTTGTCGATGTGCAATGGTTACCCATTGGCTTGCAAGACAAATCAGTTGGCAGCGAGTGCTTGTCAAAGAACTTAACTAGCTGCCATCTGGCAGAAATGAGAGGGAGCTGGTGAAAGTCATTCTCAATAAGCAATCTTCAAGAAGTTCTTGACATCCGAAATGTAGTTCCCAGCTTGCTTCCATAGAGCCTGTAGCTGAAGATATGCAAGGTATAGTTATAACATGGAATAATTATTCAGAATGGAATATAGTCTTGTCTTTGGCTAAGTATTTGTCATCTATGACTTAGTGAATTTGTCTGCTTAATTATTCATATAGTAATTTGAGCAAAGGACTGCTGTTTTTATAAGCTTGGCAATAGATGGCAAAAAAAAAAAACAAAAAAAAGA